TCTGTCAATCTACCAAGCTAAGAATGCCCATGGGGACGTTGTTTCTGGGCACAGAAAGAAATTTGTGCTTGCTGTAGGCAACAGCACTACAGATCTGTGCTAGGGCTGAGTGACACCTTCCGAGGACAGCTGCAGGGCAGAGAAGGGACAGAGAGACCAAACAGCAGAGCCAGTACCTCCACCCATGCTCACCTGGTTGCGGTCCAAGCCCTTGGCCACCTTGGCATTGTGGTCACAGAGCTCAGCCAGGGGCCTGCCGGCCAGTGCGTACTGCTTGGCAGTGTGCACAAACCAGTCCATGCTGCCACTTTCCACGTCCGTCTCGAAGACGCTGAGGGCACTGGAGGAGGAGATGTACTCAAACTGCTCTGTGGGGTCCAGCTTGCGCTTGAAGAAGATGGGGTGGCGGCGGTCCCCGATGTAGGGCTTGCGGTTGGAGTCGGAGGAGATGAGACTTTCCTTGGCTGCGAAGGCCAGGTCTCCATAAAGGCTGTAGCACAGCCCCTCGGGGTTGGCCCGGTCGATGGGCTGGCTGGCATCCTTGAAGATGTGCTGGTAAAGGGTGCTGTCCTTGGAGCCGGACAGGAGGAAGTAGGGGTCGTGGAGGTGACGCCACACGATGCCCGTGGTGACATCCTTGTGCTCCTCAAACATGGCAGAGGGGATGAAGGGCCGCCGCACGTCCCACACGTAGATGTTGTGGTCCACCATCATGGAGCAGGTGGCAATGTGGTGCTTGCACTCTGGCCGCCACTTCACCCGGGCTACGGAGGCGATGGTCTGCACGCAGTAGATTTCCTTGGCCCGCGTGGTGTTCATGTCCCAAACCTTCACCATCTTATCCCGGCCGCCTGTTGCCAGCCAGCCCCTGTGAGAAGGATGAAGGAAGATGATGACACACTGGACAGTGGGACGGGTGGTGCCCACAACACAGATGTACCCATGAAACTTGTCCACACCACGGGGGGCAGCTGGGCTGCAATCGCATCCTCCCACACACTGACCTAACACCTCTCCTCTCAAACCACGAGGTCAGACAGCACCTCTCCCTCCTGTCTCAGAGTAACGCCCTGCACTTTTGAAACCAAGCTCAACTGACAGGCTCCCAGCTCCCCCTACTCCTTTCTCCATCCTCAAGAAAACCTGTTTCCATCTTCCAACACCAACGCAAGATGCTGGGGTCAGAGAGCCTGCTTTGCTCTGGAAGGCTCCAAGCCATTTATACGGCTCTCTGCTGCTAAGCTTGAGCAGCTGGCAGGGCCTGACTCCGTACCCACCGGTCCTCGGGGTGCCAGTCACAGCAGAAGACAGGGCCGTTGTGGGCTGTGAACATCCTCTCATAGCGGTCGGGCCGGCGGATGTCCCACAGCTGCACGTTGCCATTCTCAAAGGTGGCAGCAAAGGTGAAGTAGTCGCGGATGCTGAACTGCACATCACGCACACTCTCCGACTGGCCTGAGCGGGGAGAGAAGTTTTGGTGCAGTGAGACACAGCTCCAGCAGTGCTAACAACTAAGAACTGAAAAACCTTGGCAATACTGCTATGGGAAGAGACATGGAGTCCCCCAGCCCTGAGAAGAGGGAAGGAGGGCCCGGTGCAGTCCCAATGAGCCTTACTAAGCCCACGTTGAGCGGCCAAAGCCTCTTGGCTCCCTCCCTGCTGACTTCAACCCTCCTCATGGTTCTGGGCAAGCAGAGGAACAAGCAAGAGATTGGGCTCATACCAGAGAAGGTGCTGACAGAGTCCTTCTTGCGCAGGTCAAAGCACTTCATGTAGCCGTCCTGGGAGCCGCTGAGCAGCATATACACCTCGGTGGGGTGGAAGCAGACTTTGTTGACGGTGCGTTTGTGCTCGGTGAACAGCTGGTCCTGCTTATTGCGGGACGGCTTGCCCAGGTTCCAGGTGACCACCACGCCATTGGTGGCGGCTGTGGCCAGCAGGTTCTCATCCATCTGGTGCCACACCACGTCGGCGCAGCTGAAGTTCAGCGAGGGCTTGCGGCCCACACGGAGGTTCAGCTTCTCCACAAACTGCTCCTCTTCAATGGAGTAGATCTTGAAGATGTTACGGCCGGCCACCACCACCTGGGCTGCGTCGCGGCACACGCTGATGGCGTTGGCAGGGGCGTCCAGGTGACAAAACATGGTGCGCCCTGTCAGGGTGTTGCCCCCCAGGGCTGTGCTCACCCTGGCCATCTTCTCCATGGCCGTCCTCGGCGCAGGGTCCCCTCTCTGGGAGCGGGCTCGGAGACTGGCAGCCCCGCAGGCTGCATCCAAGCCCCAGCGGCCGCCCCGTGTCCCCTCAGCCAGCGCTGGTCAGGGGTGGGCACGGCTCCGGGGTGTTCTGGGTTTGCATCAACTGCGTGGGAAGCAGAGAGGCCAAAGCTCACTTGGTACCTGTGAGGAGAGAGACAGAGCTCACGCCAGGCTCAGTGGCCGCTCCTTGCGGTGCTCCCCAGGGCTCCCTGCTACCTCTGCGCGTAGGAACAGCTCCTTGTGGGGCCAGGGGCTGCTGCGGGACACAGGGACTGCCTGCAGACCTCCCCCCCAGCCCCTCTCCATCCAGCCAGGTCCCCTGAGCCCCTCAGAACCCGCATGACCTCATATCATGTCCTGCTGTGGCCCACAGCCCCCTCAGAGCCCCTTCACAGCACCCACAGGCCCCCAACCAGGCCGACAGCCCCCTCTGAGTCCCTCAGGGCCCTACCAGGGCCTGCTGCCACCCCACAGCCTCCTCCGAGCCCCCTCAGAGCCTTCTCCCGACCCACAGCTCCCTCAGGACGCTCTCGGAGCCGGCTGTCACCCTCTACGCACCACGGGTTCACCCCTCGGAGCCTCGCATCGCCCCCCGTACCGCAGCCCCGCCGGCAGCACGAGACCCGCAGGCCCCGCCGGCAGCACGAGACCCCCAGGCCCCGCCGGCCCTGCCGGCCCTAAGCCCCGCCCCTTCCGGCGCTACGGAAAGGGGGCAACATCCTGTCGAGTCACGCCCCCTAGCCAGGCCACGCCCCTTAACCTAGCGACACCCCTTAGTCAGGACGCGCCCTCCATCAGGCCACGCCCCCTAACCAGGCCACGCCCATCTAACCAAGCCACGCCCCATATCTAGGCCACGCCCACACAAAGGCATCGGAGTGCGTTTGGTGTGGTGGGGAATGGGGGCACGGTGGGGGGGGGCAGGGGTGCACTGGGGGATATGGCAGCTATGGTGGGATGTGAGGGTGTGCTAGGGGTTATAGGGAGATGTGGGTGTTATGGGGGGGTTCTGGAGGCTTGGGGGGATATAGTGGTGCACATGGGATATGTGGGGCACTGGATATGGATGGCTCTGGGATGTTCTTGGGGGTGCAGTGGGGGATATGAGAGGGTACAGTGGGATATGGGGGTACATTGGAGGATATGGAGCCTATAGGGGGCTGGATTCGAAAATGGGGATGTGAGCCAGGGATGTGGGAAGTGTGGAGAGAGCTAGGGGTGTGCTGGGAGATATGGGGAGACACGGGCAGGGGAATATGGGGGGGTCACGAGGGTGCACAGGGGACATGGGGTTATGGGAAGGTATGGCAGATGGGCTGGGGGAAATGGGGAGGCACTGGGGTTATGGGGGCACACTGCAGCTTAGGCATACGTGGGGCGTATAATGGTACACTGAGAGGTTTGGGGAGATGAAGGATATAGGGCTGCACTGGAGATAGGGAGGAATCGGAGTGTGAGAGTGCACTGGGGAGTGTGGGGGTGCACCGTGCCATAGTGGTATGTGGGAGTGGATGAACAGGAGGAGGATGGGGTACACTGAGGGGATGCACTGCAGGGAGTGCTGATGAGGGACCAGCTCTGCTGGCTCCCCCAGCCCAGGGCACCCTCAGACCCCACTCCTACCTCACCTGTGGCTTTGCTCCCCACTTCCATCTTCCTTTGGGGGCTGCCCCTGCTCGCCCCGGTCCTGTGAGAAGGAGTCCCCACGCACATCCCCACCTGTCCCCTTTGGGTGCCCAACACCCACTTCCCATAGTGACGTGCTCTCAGCTTTAGGGGTGCCACCCTGACCTGGAGCACTCCAGCCCACGTTCAGGGCCAGAACCTCAGGCTGTTTTGGGACCAGAAATGGGCGTTTTGGACAAAAGGAGCCAGCGGAGGCGGCGGGTGGTGCAGCAGTTCCTTCCCGGCCGTTACAAAGGCAAAACAACCCGAAAGCGTGTCCGTGTCCGTGCCCGTGTCCGTGCCCATACCCCGTGCCGGCTCAGCCCCCAGCTCCCAACACATGGGGCACCCCGAGGTGCTGGCTGGGCCCTGCAGTTGGGGCGGTTTGGTGGCACCCGGGCGATGGCTTTAGGTCTGGAAGAAGCGGCGTTGCATCTCGAGGTGACGTCCCCCTGCCTTCGCTCAGTGACCCCGCTGTCCCCATGCCACCTGCGAGCCGCAGCAGGGCACAGGGCCGGACCCCCAGCCCCATGGGGACAGTGGGACCCATCCCAGACAGATGAATTACCTCTGGACATAGGGTGGCCACAGCAGCGGTGGCCCCACATCCCTCCATGTTCCCCAGGCAGTAAAGGGATGACAGCCCCTAGCATCAAGGGGATGTTGCCCCACTGTCCCCAGTGGAAACGGGGCACAGTGATGTTTGAGGGGAGGAGGGAGACCACGGCCCAACTAGGAGAGCTGTGCGGAGGGGCTGGGTGGCAGCAGGGTGGCGGGTGCCACTTGTCACTGTCCCCCCTGCTGTGCCACGAGACTGAAGCAAGCGAGCATGCGAGGGTGGAGGAAAGCATCCTATGGATGGGCGAGGGGGGACGCACAGCACGGGGGGGTTGGCTTGTTTCTCCCATCCGGGGGTGCCCATGGCTCTGTGCAGGGGGTCCCAGGCTCCCATCTGTGCAGCACCCATGGGTGCCAAAAAGCAGGGATCTCCTCTTGCCGCGCCCGGGCCCCTCGGTGGCAAGTGGGGGGGGGGGTGCTGGCATCCAGGTCGTCGAGGCGGGGGCTTTACATGTGGGTCAGTTGAATGGGCAGCGTCTTTTGCACCCCCCCTAATCCTGCTGACGGGAAGAAATGGGTTGGGTGCCGTCGCAGCTGGGTTTAGGGGGGCTGGTCCCCATCAGGTGGACGCTACTCGATGACCATGCAGCAGGGCAGGTGCTGGGAGAAGTACTTGAAGAGCTCTGGAGTGGCTCCGGGGCAGTTGGTGAGCTCCAGCTCCTCCAGCTCCTGCAGCTGTACCAGCCCTGAGAGGCCCGTGGTGGTCAACAAGGGGCAGCCTGCAGGTGGACAATATCATTGTCACCATGGTGTTCCCATCCATGTCCCCATCCCCTTCCCTGTACCCCCATGTGGGAGCCGCAGGACTTGAGGTTCCCTGGGCTGCGGGAACCCTGCCATCATGGGGGCCCTCATTTCCATTCCCAGGGACCATCCTTGTCCCCATTCCCAGACACCCCCAGCCCCACGTCACCTCATGCACAGGTCTCACCAGCAAGAGACAGGAGGCGTAGGCTGCCCATGCCCAGGAGGTGCTTCAGGCCAAAGTCCTGCACCTGTAAAAGAAACAGGAGTGGGACCAGGATGAAGACAGGCAGAGGTGCCAAAAATGGGGTACAGCACCCATGGATTCCATGGCTGAGTGGAGCAGAGTGGTGGGACTGAGTGATGGAGTAGGGTGGTGGAGCAATATGTTGGGTTAGAGTAACGGAATGGGGGAATGCAATAGGGTGATGGGCTGGTCCCCATCAGGTGGGTGCTACTCGATGACCTTGCAGCTGGGCAGGTGATTGATGGGACACGATTTAGCAGAGGGTTGTTAGTTAGGGAATATGGTTAGGTCATGGTTGGACTTGATGATCTTCAAGGTCTTTTCCAACCTGAGTGATTCTATGATTCTATGTGGAGGTGGAACATGGTGGTGGGACATGATGGTGGGACACGATGGTGGGGCAGAGTGATGGAATGGGGGATGGAACAGAATGATGGAGCTGAGCCCTGCTGAGCCTACAGATGTCCTGCATCTCTCCCCATACTTTCAGCCCCACATCACCTGTCTTCCCAGGACTCTGCTGCAAACCCATGGCAGCATCCTGATTTCCCCTCCCATCCCAGCCCGATGCCACCAGCAGTGTGGACACAATCATGGGCTCCCAGTGTGGGCAGCACAGCCCTAGTTCTCCCCTACCTGGCAGCACCAGCGCAGGTAAAGGCTCCTCAGGGATGACATGGTGGACAGGTAGCTGAGACCAGTGTCAGTGATCCGCACACACCTGTGGAGACATAGGACAAGCAGATGAATTGTCCCCAGCCCACGGCCACCCTGCTGCACCATCACCCTTGGCACCCTCCCATACCTGTCGAGCACCAGCTCCTCCAGCTTGTGCAGGTCACAGGCGATGTACTCCAGGGCCATGTCAGTGATGCGAGGGCACCAGGACAGGTCAAGGCTGCGTAGCTTGCGCAGGTTCTCAGCCACCAGCTCCACGCCATCATCTGTCACCTTGGAGCAGCCCGAGAGGCTGAGGACACTCAGGTTGGGCAAGCTGTGCACCATGTTGACCACGCCGTGGTTGGTGATCTCCCAGCAGGAATTGAGGCGCAGGGTATGCGTGGTATAACCCTGCTTGGCGGTGAAGTAGGCGAGAGCCGTGTCCGTCACATGGTAAGCTTGCAGGTTGAGCTCAGCAAGGTTGGGCAGGAGCTGTGAGATGGCTGCGATGGCATCATCAGCCACGTTGATGCAGTCGCTGACGCTCAGCGCTGTGATGCGGGCGTTGAGGCTCGACCACAGCCCGGCCTCCGTGAAGTCGTTGCAGCCTGACAGCTCCAGCCGCACCACACCCTGCATCTGCTCCAGCATCACCTGGCCAGGGGCAGCACAGAATCAGAGAACCATAGAATCACGGAATCCTAGAATCACTGAACATCCTGAATTGGAAGGGACCCACAAAGGTCACCGAGTCCAACTGCTGACTCCACACATGGCCACCCAAACCCTACGTTTGAGAGCACTATCCCAACACTTCTTGAACTCTGGCAGCTCCCCACTGCCTTTGGGAGCACGTTGCATGCCCAGCACCCTCTGGTGAAGAACATTTTCCTAAGTCCCACCATGACCCTCCCCTGATTCAGCTCCAAGCCATTCCCTCATCGCTCATCATGCGTTATATCCCATTGCTCTTTGCTTCTTTCCACTGCCCAGCCACAGCTTCACACAGCGGCTCCTTCCTGGAAGGGATAGGTAAAGGCTGTAGGTGTTCCCGTGGGTGATGGGGATGAACATCCTTCCCCAAAAGCTTGGGAGAGCAGCCTTGCTACCTCCTGGATCTCAGGTCACAGGCAGAGGGACAAGTAGGGTGCTAGTGTTGTCTGCCTGCTGATGACTGGGCCATGCCCTTGCTGGGGAAGGAGAAAGCTCTCTCATGCAGACTGCAGCATGCTTGTTTCCAGGTGCTGTAGTGCTTGTGGGTTGACACATCTGGACATGTTGTGCCAAAGCCTGGCAGCATTGCCACGTGGCAGGGAATCAAGCATTGTCCCCCAAACCTTGCCTTCACCTTGGGTGCAAACAGACTCTGGAGACAGCATTAGGGGCACTCATGGGGACATCTCTTCAGAGCAACCCATGGTGCCACCTTTCCGGCATCTAACCCAACCCCAGTCCCTGGCCACCTCACTGGTGCTGAGGCCACCTACCTCCAGCCCTGCATCCGTGATGGTTGACCTTTTAAGGCTCATAGACTTGACCCCCTTCTTGGACAAGGGGTAGTTGTCAATGAACTCACAAATGTCCAGGTCGGAGACGCCCACGAGGCAGAAACCGTCAAAACCCCGCACAGCAAAACCCTGCAGGCTGACAAACTCTTTCTCGCCACCAGGCAGGACATTGTAGAGCTCTTTGGTGTGGAGGACAGGTGTCAGACCCACCCAAAATTTGGGTTGGTAGAGCACTCGCCGCCACGCCTTGCACACCTGTGCCAACACGCACTTCTCACAAGCCGAAAAGTACCAGAAGAGGCGGTTGAGGATCTTCTCATCCACCACCAGCTGCCTCTCTGAGGGTGAACCGGGCAGCCGTTCTGGAGAGGGATGCTCAGAGCCTGGAATGGCCTCGCTCGAGTTCAGTGCCACCAAGGAGGTGCCGGGAGGGGATGAGACGCCAGCCAGAGCGGCCAGGGACAGCGGCGAGGCCAGGCTGGGGATGGGCAGGTCGCTGCGGGGAGCTAAGGCTGGACTGAGGATGGCAGGCACGGAGGAAGGCTGGCACAGGCGGTTTTTCACGGCAGGGGTGCCTTTGGTGATGCTGGCAGAGCCGAGGCCGTTGGGCTGTGTGGGGATCTTCACCAGTCCATTGCGAGGCAAACATGGGGGCTTGGTGTCGCCGTTTCTCGGGTTCGACATCTTCCACGGGTCTCTCTGCAACACAGAGGTAGTAAGCAGATGTCAGCCAGCACTGGGCTCACTGGGATGCACGGCTTGGGTGACAGAGACCACACGTGCCATGCTGTCCAGTGAGTCCGTGCCGATCGGGTGCCATAGCTTGCAGAGGCACCACATCAAAGCAAGCCAATAAATATTTCAGATGCAGTCAGACAGGCTTTCAAACAGCCCTGCCACACCCCACCATGCATTATTAATTACATTTCCCTCTATAAATACAGAGGTGAATAATTGATGGGGGCTTGCCCCCCCACCAGCCAGTGACTGGCACAGAGCCTCTGTCATACCCATTCTGCCAACACCCTGTGCCCCAGCACACAGTGCTCACCGGAACCAAGCCCTGCAAAGGACTAGGTTCCCATCTCCTTTGGAGCCCAGCTTGAGATGGAGCCGTAGGAGCCTGGGCTTCCAAAACATCCAGGGGCATAGGAGGAGCTAGAGCCTGCAGAAATGGAGCCCAAGGGGATGAGACAGAGCTGTCACTCCCAGGTCCTGAGGGATGGGGACTGCTCAGTGACAGCCATGCCTGAGTGGCACATTAGTTTGTGCTTGCTAATGGGACCTGAGAACACAGTCACCAGCTCCCCCTCGGAAGCAGAATAAAAGCTGAGAATGAAGTGAGAAAATACTTTGGATGGCTGAGACCTGGAGGAGGGGAGGCTGGCAGAAAGGGAACAAGACGTGGCTGTGGCTATGTCCCTACTTTCTGCCCCCAGGAAAGTGACTGAGGGCACCAAGAGAGTAGCACGCTGGCTGGTGAGCCACATGTGTTGCTGGTGGCCCAGGTACACAGTCTTTGGGGCTGTTCCACCCTGGAGACAGTGCTGGCCTAAGCCAGACTCTATGCTGCACTCCGACAGCCCCTACAACACCAGGACACAGCTGGAGATATCCCTGCTGTCCCCAGCCCATTACTCCAACCCTCCCATCATCCCCATGCCCTGCTGTGTGGGGGAGCAGCCCCCTGAGACCTAGGACTCGCCACCAGCTTTCTCCCAGACTTTACCCCACTCTTTAAGAGCTAGTTTTCTGCCCATTCACCCTGCAGATGGGAAGCAGCCAGTGGTGAAACCTCTCACCTCTCCACAGCAGCCCAGCACAGTGGCATTGGCACCACCAGAGCCCATCCTCCGGGAATGGATCTGGCCCTGAGCAGACAGCCTGGCGCCACTTCCCACTTGGATGCAGCTTCTGCTGCCTTCACTTACACTGCCCTACAGAGGGTTCAGGCCTCAGATACTCGACTAAATTTGCTTGAAAGCAGGGGAAGAGGAGGGGGAAAAGGAAGAAACTTAAAACCAGCAGCTCTGAGGTTGGCAGCAATTAGGGAAGCAAACAGAACGTGCACCAGGGTGTCTAACACAGCGCTACAACACAAATCAAAACAGATAATTACTGCACAGCACAGAAAGGCTGTCACTCCGGCACAGAGCCCACAGAGAGCAATTCACCATGCTGGCTGCCTTTGGGGAGAGGTCAGGTGGTGGGAGTGGGGCAGCCCATGGTCTCCAGACATCAGAAGATAAACCAGGGGTGGGGGCTTCCACAGGGGACAGCCATGGGAGGAGACAGATGCTGATGATGATCAGACTGTAATTCAGCCAGGGGGAGGTGTTGGCAGCATTTACAACCAGCTGAGAGTGAGGCTCATCCTCAAGGCAGGGCTTGGTGGTTTTCACAGTTCTGCCTTGGGAAGATGAGATAGCTCCCCCTGCCCCAGGCACTGAAGCTACTTGTCTGTCTCACAGATATTCCAAACCATGAATGAGCTGGGAAGTCACTTCAGGTAGAAATACAACAGGGATGGAGGCCTTCTGGACAAAGGCAGGTTTCAGGCATGGATAGCAGGAAGCTGGGCAGGCAGGGTTGTGGCTGTGTCCATCTAGGCTTACTGTACATGGCTGCATCTCTCTGGAGAATGGACAACCAGGGATTCTGTCAGCCTGAAAGCATCAGGACCTTGCCTGGGTAAGAGAGCATCTTGGAGATGGTGGCAGGGAGAACAGGCTGGGGATGCTTGTTGGCTTAATAATCACTTCTCCATTGCCTCTGGAGTAGCCCCTCACTGCTACTGAAAAGCCCCCAGCAGCAGCCCTACAGGCTCCTCAGGCCCAGAGGGGAGGCCACATTGCTCCACTGTACGGAGTGCAAGTACAATGTACAAAGTACAAGTACAAAGTGCAAGTCCATCCTTCAGAGCTTCTGTGCACTGAGACACACGGAGCACACCATGCCCTTCCCGAGGTCCTTCCGCTAATGCACTTGGACAGCCTTGGGAAAGTCAGTACAGAGTCCTGCACTCTCAATCCCCACTTTTGACACCTTTGTCCCTTCTGATGTACCCACAGTTCTGCAGATATCTGCAGATATTTGCTTTTTACTTTTACTCCAAAGCAGAGAAAGAGCAGAGATTTGGCCCTCCATCCTCTCTCAGAAGTACTAAGTGCTTGGTATAACCATTCTTACTTTGGGACTTCACAAGAAGGACTCAGCTTCAGAGACCCTCGTGTAAGCTCCCTCTGCTCTCACAGGCCTCAGAGAGAGAGGTGTCTGCCAGCTGTACCAAATCTCAATCCACAGAGGAAGGAAACCTGACAAAAGCAAAGGGCAAGGTCTTTTAGTCTCACAAATTCATTCCAGGGTGCGCATTTCACAGGAAATGTTATTGCAGAGAAATCACTCCATTCATGAAGGCTTTCTCATCCACAATGAGTGATGATGCAGTTGTGGGGGGTGGAATTGACGCAGGAAGAGAGAAGAAAGAAAGGGGTCTAAGAGTGTGTCACTACAAACATTACGCAGATGATGAAGCTGGGAAGGATAAGACAGAAGTACCCAGGAAGAGAACACTTGTCCAAACCATTGGCGAATATTTACTGTCTCAACGTGTTAGTGATGAGGGATGAGAACCTCAAGAAACAGCTGGGGTGGACAGTCATCTGCTAGTGCCACCCTTGTGTACATACGGGCTCACTTAGAGAGCCCAGGCTGTGGCAGAGATACACTAGGTCAGACTGCAGTCCAGCTGCATCCAGATTTTATGGCCACTGTGAGCTCTGGGCCATCGGGGCAGCTCAGGGCACACCGGAGATTCAGGGCTGGCAGGGCTCGGTGGTCCATGGAGATCGACGGGGTCGAGGTCCGAGTCCCGTTCAGCACTGCGGACAGAGGTCCTAGCAGCGGCCAGCACCGCGCACAGCCACACAGCTTGCCTCCCCGTTCAGCACCACGGACAGCGACACCGACCTCCCCCTTCAGCACCGCGGTCAGCGACACCGGCCCCCGTTCAGCACCGCGGACAGCGACAGCCCCCGTTCAGCACCGCGGACAGCGGCCTGTCCCGCCAGCCTCGGGGCAGCAGCATCCTGCAGAAAAACCCCTCAAAAGGGCCCGACAGACCCCTATTGCCTTTGCTATCCCTCGTTATCCCTCCTGCTGCCCCCCCCCCTGCTATCTCCCCTTTGCTATCCCCCCCTGCTTCCTCACCACTCCCTGTGAAGCCCCTCCTGCTGCCCCCCCAGGCCCCTGTGAAGGGCTCCTGCTGCCCTGCTAGCCTCCCTGCAGCCCTTTTATTGCATTGACAGAATCCAAGGCTGATGCAAAATTATTTTTGTAGAGCTACTGCTTCGGTGACAGAGAGTTGCTCGGCAGCAAGCAGCCATCGCTCACGGCTTCCTGCACACACACACACAAACAGATATGCTTGGACACGCACACACACACACATCAGAGCCCTAGGGGCTGGTGGATGCACCTTGCATGAGCCTTGGTACTGAGACACACATATACATGCACATATACACACACAAACAGAGATAAGCGCATGCACACACACACTCACGCAGGGTTGCATCAGCTGAATTCATTAGCCTGTCTATTTTTACTAATGCAGCAAATCAAGTTGCTCTACAGGCAGAGGAAACACACCCGAGACACAGTGCTGTGGCACAACACACAGCCAAAGCTTTCGTCCAGTGGTATCAATGGTAACAGCTGCCCAAAACCACCAAATGTGCACAACAAGCTGAACCAACAGCAATGCCATGCTGGCTCTTGCTTTGGTGGCAGAAGAACCTGTAGACCAAAGCACATGGTAATAATAAAGATATCCTTCTATAAAGATTGCCTTTCCCAGCAGTGTTCAGCAGTGTGCAAGTTGTCTCTTTGACTGCATCAGTTCAGCCCACTGTCCGTGCAGTGTGTAGTCAGGCATATGTATGGCTGTCCTCTCAGTGTGCTTGGATCACCTTGGCAATGTAGAGGAGGCACTGAATCCCCCAAAGAGCCCCTTGCTCCCCTAGAGATGGAGGGGCAGCTAGTGTGTTTAGGTGCAGAGAGGCTGCCTGTACATGCACATGTGCGTGTGCACATGTGGATCAGAGCTCTGGAGCTCAGGACTCACACGTCAGCTGGGAGAGAGGCTCAGAGCACAGCTCCAAGCTCAGCACTGTGTGTTGCAGGACGAACGCTGCAGCATGAACCAGGAATTCATGGTGAAGAAAAGACCATGTTCTGCTCTCTGTTGCTTGGCCCAGAGACCTGCTTGTACGATGGGAGCTGGGAAACTCCTTCCTAGGATTATCCTGAGAGGTCCTTGAGAAACTAGAGAGATTAGCACAGCTCTCCTGTTCCTCTCCCAGTGATGCCAATGAGCTCATCCCACCTTGCAGTAGATAAAAAGGTTCAGGGGGCCCTAGGAAAACACTCAAAGGCCGAAGTTCCCTGCAGCAGACAGTAGGGTCCCCTCTGGCTGCTACACACTTTTCCCACGTTCTTCCCAGGGTTTATCACTTCGGCGTGATCCCAGCCCGCGTGGGAGGTGATGCTAGCCCCACTCTATGCCAGCCCATCCTAAGCCCCCAGGAGGGCAAGGAGCAGCACTAGTTCTGGCCATAGCTGTTCCACACAATGATCTTCTCCAGGAGTGGGGATTTGTCTGGTTAATTTGGAGAGCTGAGCATGGCCTGGAGTATGTAACTTTGTGGTGCACCACTGCTGAGGCCCAAATCTCCCAAATACATTAGGCATTGACATCCTTCCTATTCCAGGCAGCTCCATGTTCACAAGGAGCCTCAGACTCCACATCCAGTGATGGTTGTCAACAAACCTCTATGCACATGTGCACAGATGTGGACAGAGTCAGGTGGCGACTGTGGCTGACCTGGGCTCACCTCCTCCAGCCTCCTTCAGAAATACCAGGCCTCACTGCTGAAGGGAGGATGCTCATGCTTCCATGTGCCTCAGCTAAGTTTCTCCCTGCTCCCTGTTAATCAAGGTGTTGTGTTGGGAGAGCAGCTCCTGTTGCGTAACAGCCAGAGTGTGCTCATTTGATGGAGCTGGGCATGCTGTAGCTCTGCTCCTTGCCCCTTTTTGTCCCAGGAACAGAGTGCCCACACATAAAGGAAAGGCCCTGAGTGCTGATTAAGGGTCTCATAGAGGAGAGATGAGCCAACCTGTGGCTGTTCCTGGGACATCAGTGCACTTCCTTGGTACTGCTGGGACAAGTGCCTCTTCCAGGGCCTTCAGACGTCTTCATCATTCTGGACGTGGCAATGACCACACAAACAGTAAAGCCTTTTTGCCAGGCCAGTGTGACATCCTGAAGCTCTCTGCACGACAGATCTGAGGACCTGAGAAGGTCTTGGCCACAGGTGCCCATGATGGAAGGGACCAGCACCAATCCAACACCAATATCAGCCTCTCCCCAGGCTACCAGCCCAGCCTGAGCCCTGCCACAGACACAGGACTGCGGGACCTGAGAGAACACAGAGCGTGACTGAATAGTGCTGAGGGAACTAGTGGGACATCAGGGCAGGGAGGCAGTGCTGAGCCACAGGACTTCTGCTGCAGGGTGCTGGAGTTGCTCAGTGCTGACATAAACTCAGAAAGTTGTTAGATTCTGGCCTCTGACCAAGATCACAGCCCTGTTGCAAGGAGGGGAGGCAGCGCAGCCCCGGTGCTCCATGTCCTCTCACCCACCTGCCTCAATTTCCCCACCAACCATCAGTGTTGATGCTGTGTGATGGGGCCAGGAGGCAGCCCCACAACCACCTGCTTGTCCAGGAGCTGGACAAAGCTCCAGCAGAGAGAAAGCCCAGGAACATTTTTCTGCTTTCCTGCCCTTTCTCTGAATGCTCTCCCATCCCCAGAGCACCTGAAGAATGTGTGCAGTCCCATGATGGGTGGGCAGGGACTTGGAATGGATAAGAAGCTGCCAAAGGATCTGCGCTTGCCTGCGCATTCCATTCTGCTGCCTGCACAGCATGAGCACAGCTACTAGCCCCAAAAGCAATGGGTTCCCAAGAGCCCTGGCCTCCCTTCTGTCATGCCATGTTCCCATGGGGTGTGCAACATGGAGGCAGCTCCTCTGGAGGGAACAGAGGACCCTATTATCCCATTTGCCTTCCCACATGCCATCCCCAGCCCCAGCTTGAACAAGGACCCCAGCACCCCCAGAAGTGGGATTTGGGGAGCCAGGAGGTTCCCAGTACTGGGAAAGCTCAGCCACCACATCCCCACTGCAACAGAGAGGAAAACAGGCCTGGAGGATGGAGCAGGGATCGATGTGGGGGAAGCCAGCTCGGGGAAAAATAGATATCTATCTCATTAAAAATGGATGCTGAAGCGAGTCCTCCCCACTCCAAAGCCACCTCCCTCCCTCTTCCTGGTAGCTGGAGTGAAATCAGCACTGAGCTTCCAGAGGAGGGGAAATGCCAGCACTGTGCATCTCTTGCTCCGCACTCACAGAGTGCCCCAAAGCCTCCTGCCCTTGGCCCAGTACCCCTGTCAGAGCTCCCCTACCATGGAAGCATTCCAGTCTGCCATTGGGACACCATCACATCCTGCCAGTGGGGCACAGTGGAACCAAATGAATCCTGATAGTAATCTCAGACACCCCCACATCACTGAGGCCATGGAGGCTCTGGTTACAGCTCACCAACCTTGTGCCTTGGTTCCCCCACCATCTGGCTCAGCCTGGACCAGCACAAGCAGCCTCGCTCCCTCTGTGGGGCTTCCATAGCCACTGTGGGGTGCCCCACGCAGAGCTGGGATCCTGCTGTAGGGATCATCCCTGTGTGCCTCATCCCTAGGGTCTAGCCCTGCCTCTCTGTGTCCCATTGGCCTCCAGGAGTGACGGTGATGGCAATGTGTTGTTCCCAGACCCCATGGCTTGTAGCAGCCCAGAAAAGAGGAAAATCCCACCGTGTTGCTGGGGTGTTGTTGAGGCATTGGGATGCCAGGTTGCTGAGGTGTCAGAGTGTTGGGGAGTCAAGGTGACAGAGTGAAGAGGTTCTGGAGAGCAGGATGCCCAAGTGGGGGGTGACAAGGTGTTGGGGTTTTAGGGTGATAGGGTACCAGGATGCTGGTGTACCATTATGTCAGGCTATTGGGGTGCTGAGATGCCAAGATGTTGGGATGCCACACTGCTTGGATACCAGAGTGTGAAAGAGGGATGGAGTGTAGGGATTTTAGTGGACCAGCCTGTTAGGATCCCACTGTGCTGGGGTGCCAGTGTGTTGGGATGACAGGATGACAGAGTGACAGTGTTATGAGGTTTTGAGGTGCCAGGAGTCTTTTACTGTTGGTGTGTTTGTATGGTAGGGTGTTGGGATGATGGCATGCTGCAGGATCAGGGCACTTCAGTCCCATGGTTTAATGGTGCTTGGATGTAGGGGTGCCAGGATGATGAGGCGCAAGGGTGCCGGGGCACCAGGGTAACAGGGTGCTGGGATTTTAGATTTCCAAGTTGCTGGGATCCCACAGTGTTGAAGTGCCATGGTCCTGGGTGGTTGGGATATCAGGGTGATGGGATGCTGGAATGATGGGGTGCTGGGAATTTAAGGTATCAGGGTAGCAGGATAATGGAGTCCAACGGTGCTAGAGTGCTAGGATGCAGGGGTCCAAGGCTAATAGGCTTTAGGGTGCCAGGGGATACAGCTCCAGAGGTGCCATTCTCTTTTACCCTACAGAACCATGGAGGAGGGTGAGCAGCCTGAGGGGGTGCTTCAGGAACTTGGGGGGAGGGGAGAGGGGGATCAGAAAGCAGGCAACAAGGCAACAACCCCCCACCCTACCTCTCTCTCCATGCTGACAACCGCACTCATCCCAAAGCCTCCCTACAGGACAGTCGGTGCCAGCCCACTCCCTGCCTTCTGGGCCCCCGTTTGGGGGGGGGAAGGAGGGGGGAAGGGAGGCGAGTGGAACGGAGAGGGGCCCCTCCGTTACCTTCTCCCTCTCCTTCCCCCCGGCCGGGAGCACGGGGCTCACTCCGCCGCCGTTATATAACGGTGCAGCGGGATGCTGCACCGGGGGCTGCGGCCCCAGCCCCCTCCCCGCCCGCCGGGGCCGTACGGCGATGTGCGGGCTTTGTGTCGCAATGGTTTCCCGAGAGCAAATCACCATCACCATCATCATCATCAACAATAATAAGAATAAAAGAGAAAAACAAAACAACCCCCGCAAACAATAAACAAGCGATCCCTTACCTCCAGCTCTCCCAGCTCATGCCATGCCGTGCGCGGACAGCCGCTCCTTTCCTGCGCGAGGAAACCTCGAGGAGGAGGAGAAGGAAGAGAGAAGAGGAGGAAGATGGGTGCTCGCTGCCGCTCGGCCTCAAGCCGACAAAAAAAAACCACACACAAAAAAAAACCAACAACAAAAAAAAAACAACAGCGGTGGGGAGGGGAGAGGGCCGGATCCGGCTCGGTGCAGGGCAGCCGCGAGAGGCTCGCACACGCACACGCGCGCACACGCGCGCACACGCAGCCTCCCGCGTCCGTACAGCCGCCCGTTAAAGAGACACCGCCGCCGAGAGCGACAACGCAGCGCCGAGGTCCCCGCACCGCTCCCGGTCCCCGCGGCACCGAGCGGCAGCGACCAGGTGAAGGGGGAAGGAGCCGGGGAGCTGAGAGCCCCCGTACAGCGGGGAGGGACGGGAGGGTGGGAGGCACCGGAGGGAGGGGTGGGGGTGGGAGGAGGGAGGGAGGGATGCGGGGACGGATGGAGGGGTGGAGGAAGAGACGGATGGATGGATAGATGGAGGGATGGATGGGTACGGATTTAGGGATGGAAGGGTCGATGGATGGTGGAGGGATGGAGGGATGAAAGGGTGGAGGGATGAAGGGAGGAAAGGGTGGAGGGATGGATGGAGAGAGGAATAAATAGGTGGAGGAATAGGTGGAGGGATGGATGCAGGGACACGTGGATGTTGGAGTGATAGATGGAGGGATGGAGGAAAAGATGAAGGGATGGAGGGATGGATGCAGCGATGGAGGGTTGGACGGAGGGACGGACGTGAGAACAGACGGGTGGTCAGGTGTGGGGAGGTAGAGATGCAGGAGAATCATAGAATCATTGACTTGTGGAATGGCTTGGGTTGGAAGAGACTTCAAAGATCATCTGGTTCCAGAAGGATGGAAGGATGGAGAGATGGATGCAGGAGCAGATGAATGGAGGGAGGGATGAATGGACAGATGAAGGGATAGAAGGCTAGGTGGACAAAAGAATGGATGGATTTAGGGGTGTTTGCTCTGTCTCTCTCCCCAGCAGGACACTGGCAAGAGGCAATCCCTGTTCTGAACCCTCTTGGCTGGTAGCCTTGGTTCCACTGGCATCCCCAACACAGTGGGGATGATCCAAACCCTGGCAAGCTGCAGGAGCCTGCACTGAGGGAAGAGCAGATGCCTTCACTTCCTCACTTATTTCTGTCTTGCCCAGCTCTGCACCCACTCAGCAACTCCAACGTGGGGCCCAGCTCCCCAAACTGGAAGGAATGGGCTTAGGCACAGTGCTTAACCCCTTCCCATTACACAGTACTGTAGTGGGGTAAACTAGGCTGGCTGCCACCCGGCCAGGCCCTGGGGACGCTGATGTAACTGCCAGGATCTGGCTGCCTCCATTATTTATAAGGCAGGTCGGGTTTCTTGCTGGCAATGGGAGAGTGTTTGGGGGGAGGATGTACACACATACACACACATAATCCCACCCCACAGCTGGAAGTGCTGTGTTGTTGTGTCCCCACAGTGTGCAACTGCCTCTGCCCCATGTGTAAAGGGAGGACAGCAGCCACGGGGGTGATGGTGTGAGGAGCTGCTGGGGCTGGGGGCTGCTGGCACTCAGATGCATCCCTCGTGCAGGGACAGAGCAGCCTCTGCCACCCCCATCCCGCCCAGCAGGTGACAGCTGCAGAGGAAGGGGCCGGAAGAATCAGTGACCAGGCACATGTTGGTTTGTGGCCTTTTCCACGTCACACATCTGTCCCTCCCTCAATGACCCCAGTGAGAGGCCTGGGGGTCCTTCCCCCCCGCGACGCCTTGTCCCCACAGGGACGTCCCCAAAGGGAACAGCCACCCAGCAGCAGCCCCTGGGTGTGTGGGCAGTGGGTGAGAACCCACTCAGCTCCCACCCCTGCTATCCACACGGGGCTCTTGGAGGCCTGTGGGTTTGGTTCCCATGCTACGGGCCGAGCATCCTTGGGCCAGCCGGACCGTGGGTACCAAAGCTGGACCGCAGTGCGCAGGGTGCCGTCGCCACGGCAACGGCGGTCGCCTAGCGATGGCTGTCTCCCGGTAACCCGTCGCCTAGCGATGGGGGATTTTTCACAGCTCTGGATGAAGAGATGAGGGTTATTTTTAGCCCGCCTGCAAATCAATAGGCAGCTCCATTCGCCGCCGGAGAGGATGCACGTGCCAGGGCAGCCTTGCCGGGTTCTGCTTTGGAGGCTGACGATGGTGGGGACAGCCTGGGGACGCCGCCCTCGATGCAGCCCTACTGCCCCCGGTGGGGCTCAGCACACCCCTGTGGTCCCCAAATGGAGGGCAATATTTCCAGGTCTTGAAGCTGGATGAGGGCAGAACCTAGAGGTGGGGACCCTCATCTTGCCGTGGGTACAATCACCTGGCCGTGAGGACCCTCACCCAGCCAGGGGGACACTTGTCCTGCCATGGGGACCCCCCTCTGGCCACAGGGACCCTCATCCTGCTGCTGAGAGCCTCACCCACTTCTGAAATCCTCATTCTGCCATGGGAACCTTCTCTCACTTGCGGACACCCAGCGCCAAAACGAGGTCCCTCACTTGGCCATGTGAACCCTCACCCAGCTAATGGGGAATCTTGTCCTTACATGAGAACCCTCACTTAGTCGTGGGATCCACCACCGTGCTGCAAGGACCTTCGCTCAGGGATCCTGCCCCAACGTGGGGACCCTTAGCATGCAGTTTCCCTCCTGACATCCCTCAGGACACTGTGAGAGGACATGGATACACATAGGGCCGGAGACCAGGACCCTCAGTCTTGGGATCTTGGGAGCCAATATGAGGCCTCTCAAGCTATTTTTTGGGGATGATGTGGGTGCCTGATGCAGCTGCAGTTCCCACGGGCTCTCTTGGCTCAGTAGGAGCAGCTCCCCACGCAGCCACAGCTTCAGGAGGGGATGGGGAGCCCCAAACTCTGAGCAGCCCTTTAGGGTCAGGCCCCAGCCACTTCCCCTCTGAGAAGCCCCTGCAGCCCCCTGCCCACCTCACAGCCCCTCTGCCCCACCCTGCTCCACTGTGCCCTATGCCGGTATATGGGAGAGCTGAGGCAGGATCAGGCCCAGACCTGCAGATCACAAATCCCTGCTGGGGGGGGGTGGGTCTGGGTTGGGGGGATGCAGAGCCGTGTCCGCAGTCACAAGAGGGCACTGCGAGCCCGCAGCATCCCGGCCCCGGGGCTCCGAGAAGCTCGGGGACCCCAAGCGACCCGGGAGCAGGGAGCCGAGCAGCCAACGCCACGGGGGTGACAGTGGCAGGATGTCCCCAGCGTGGTGACATGTGGCCCCGCATGGTGATGATGGAGGTGGCTGCGTGGTGGCCCCTGCAGCAGGTGGGTGGCTGGGGTGGAAGGGACTGCAGCACAGTGTCATGGGGGGCAGGGGGAGCACTGGAGGTGTATTGGGGTGATGGTTCATAGACACGGCCTGGGGACGCTGCCAGGGGACGTTGGCCACGGGGCCAAAACATTTCAGTTGGTGGCATCTTTGGCTGCCCCCAGGGATGCTTCACCCCACTCGGGCTCACTGAGTGATGATGGCCTGGGGCTGCGCGTGCTGTGCTGCACAGGGCTTTGCATCTTCCCAGTTCAGCCCAGTATGGACCCATTTCAACTCATTTCGGCCCAGTTCAGGCCCAGTTCAACTCATTTCAGCCCGGTTCAGCCCACTTCAGGCCCGGCTCTGGGAGGTCGGTGGGCAGTGGTGCTGACCCTGCTGCCTTTGTCCATCTCCCACGGCATCCACCCTCTCCCGGCCTTAATTTTCCACGGATTCCATCAGATTGACTTCTTTCAGTGTCATTTCATGGCCGGAGGGCTCTGAATCCCTCTCCCCCCTCCTCGTGCCCGGCCCCCTCCTCTTCCCCTCCTTTCTCTTTCTTTCTGCCATCCAAATTTACAATCCCTCATTTCCATTCGGCTCCACCCTCTCTCCGGGGACTTTGTTCTCCGCCTGTATCATCGCATCGCAATTGTTCCGTGTTTATTTCAAACATTTTGGCGGGCTGTCACTCGATGGAAACTTAATTAATTGCAGGGTTTGTGAGCCCGGCACAATGGTGTCTGAAGGGAAAATAAAATAAAAATGCCATAATGGGGAACAGCTCGCGGAAGAAGGGGAGAGGGAGGAGATGCAGATGCGTGGCTGGCGGCCAGATGCTGATAGCGGCTGTCCAAATTGGGGGGAAATCCTTCCAAAGGGCGATTTGGGGATGGGATTGGGGGTCCCAGGGTGGGACTAGCTTCACACGCTGCGGCCCCTGCTCGAGAAAATCCCCTCCGTGGGGAGGCAATCCCCGGCTTATGGGGGGATGTGGGGATGGGATGAGCGGTGCCACCCCCCCTATGCCCTGGGGTCCCCCGGAGGTGGTGAACCGATCCCCGCTCCCCGCGTGGGATGCTCGGGGTGGAGGTTTGGGGGGGGGGAAGGTGAGGGGGGGACAACCCCGCCCCTCCGCCCCTATTGGCTCAAAGTTTGGGGGCGCGGCGCTGATTGGCCCCCCCGGTTCCCACCCCCCCCAAAATTCCCCCGCGCGCTGCGATCCGCGGCCACGGCCGGGGCCGCCGCCGCCTCCGCCGCCCCCGGGGCCGCCGCTGCCGGGAGCCCGGAGCCCCGGAGCGGCCATGCGGGCTCTGTGGGCGCTGTGCTTAGCCGGGCTGGCCGCTGCCCTCGGCAGCTTCTCGGCGGATCAGTGCAGCTGGAGGGGGAGGTAAGCTCCGGGATGCGTGAGGCAGGGCTCAGCCCGATCCCAATCTCCGCTCTGATCCTGACCTCAGTCCCCATCCCAATCCCGGTCCCGGTGGCGAAGAGAGCCCCGTGCATCTCCTAAGGCTGAGTCCTCGGATTTCTCCCTGCCTCAGTTTCCTCGCTCGAACCGAAGCCCCAAAAAGCTGCCCTCAGCCTGGGGGGGTTTCGAGCTGCCTTTCCACATCTGCCCCCCACTCACCCGTGCGTTCCTCCATCCTCCTCTCCACGCGGTGTCCCCGCTCCCTACAGCCCCGCGATTGGTTGGTCGGAATGGATGCTGAGGCCCTAAAATTCTCCCCGAGACCCCAAAAACTCTCCCCGGGGCCTTTTACCACCCCGGAAAGGCGCCGAACTCGGGAACAAAGAGCGGGGGCCCGGCAGGAGGGGCTGCGGCGGGGCCACGGGGCCGCGCAGCCGCCGGCGCCTCGGCCCGGACAAAGCGGCCGCCCCAGCTCCCCCCGACCCTAAAGGCGGCCCCGCTTCCCCCGGCTCGCTGCTTGGCCCCGGCGCCAGGAGCAGCAAAACGCTGAGCTGGGAACGTGAGAACCCGAATCCCACAAGAGCAGAGAACGAGGTGACCCCCCCTCCATCTCCCCAACCCAGAGATCCCAGCACCTGAAAGTCCGCCCAGAAAGGGCAAAAGGAATGGGGTGGATCTGGGGACAAGGAGGGCAAAAACAGGCAGGAAACATCTCCAGATGGGGATAAATCACCGAACCGCACCCCAAAGCCGAGGCGTCAAGGTCTAGCATTTCTCTTTGGGGTTTCCACGCTCCCACATGCGGGCACCTCGGGTGGGTCAGGGATCGGGGTCTGCTCTCGGGGTCCTGCTGACCCTGTACCTGGTGCCTTGCAGCGGCTTGTCACAGGAGGTTGGCAGCGTGGAGCAGCTCACCCTGCGCTGCGCCGAGGGCTCCCTGGAGTGGCTGTACCCCACAGGGGCTCTCCGCCTCCGCCTGGCCCCTCGCCTGCCCCCCGCCACCACCTCCGATGGCCGCGACCCCCGACACGTCACCGCCTGCCTTCAGCCAGCCGGCACCTTCCGGGGTGCTCAGCTCTACCTGGAGCGGGATGGGGAGCTGGAGCTGCTGCTGCCTGAAGCAGAGGTGGCCCCGCGGCCCCGTGTGAGGTGTTTCAGCTGGCCACCCCATGAGCAGGTGGCCCTGTTCCTGCAGGCCACCCCGCAGCGTGACATCAGCCGCCGCATCGCTGCCTTCCGCTATGAGCTGCGGGGGGATTGGCTCGCCAGGCCCGCTTTGCCTGCTGAAGGTGAGAACGTCTTCGGGTGCTCCAAGTGGGAAAACCACTTGAAAAGGGGGATTTCTCTCCCCTCGTGGTGTGGGCACGCTGCGGTGACAACGGTGTTTGGTTATTGCAGGGCTGTGCCGGCCGTGCAACGACACCGAGCTCCTGATGGCCATTTGCACTAGTGACTTTGGTGAGTGCGTCCTTGGGCTCAGGAGGAGGGAGGGAAATACAAAGTGGGATGCTGTAAGGATGGGGTGATGGGGCAGCGCTGCTTCGAGAGCCTCGTGTTGTCCTCATCCAGCCCGTGGCATGGCCGTGGTGCCCCATGCTGCTCTCATATGTCACGGCCCCATTCTGCATCCACGTGGGGCCGTGTGTTCCCCTTCACTCTGCTGCTGCACCAGCCTGCAGAGGGTCCCTGAGGCAGGTGGGGGATAGGGACGAGGATGGGAATGGGGAAAAGGAACAAGAATGGGGAACAGGAATGGGGACAGGAATAAGGGTAATGATGGAGATGGGGGTGGGTACAGGGATGAGGTCAGGAATGGGGAAGGGAATGGGGAAAAGGAATAGAAATGGGAACGGGGACAGGGATGGTGATGGGAACAGGAATGGGGAATGGGAATAAGGAATGGGGATGGAAGTGGGAATGGCGATCAGGACAGAGAAGGGGAAGAGGATAGGGATAAGAATGGGGAAGGGGATGGAGCTGGGGAAGGAAAAAAGGATGAGGATGTGAGGATGGGGATAAGAAAGAGGAAGGGCATGGAGACAGGGATGGGATGGGGATGGGGGCAGGTGCACACTCATCCCTCTCTGCCTTCCCCCTCAGTGGTCCGCGGTTCCATCCACAGCGTCTCCAACGACGCAGAGCTGCAGGAATCCGTCATCGGGGTGAGCGCCGTCCGCATCCACCGCCAGAAATTCCCCCTCTTCCAAACTGGAGGGCGGCCGGGGCGGGCGGCAGGCAGCATCCGCACCCCTCTGCGCTGCGGTGTGCGGCCGGGGCCCGGCACCTTCCTCTTCACGGGGTGGCTGCACTTTGGTGAGGCATGGCTCAGCTGCGCTCCCCGCTACAAGGACTTCCAGCGCATCTACGAGGGCGCCCGGCGCAGGAAGCAAAACCCCTGCGAGTTCCCTGTGGACTGAGCGGCTCGGGGTGGGCAGCCCCCAGCTTGGGAGCATCCCTGCTCGAGAGACACTGGAAAATGTGTTTATCTCAGCCACCTCCCGCTGCCCTGGGATGCTGGGGGCATCGCCACAAGGAAGGGGCTGCATGCTGTCTGCAGGGACAGGCACGTAGGGACGTGGGAGCACGGTGGGTGGGGACAGCCCTGTGAAAATCCTGCAGGATAGGATGGGATTTTCCCAGTGTGTGACCCTGGGGGGTTGCAGAAGGGTGCTCTGGGCTGGGGGTCCTGGGGGCTGAGGGGTCATTGCAGGTGTGGGGACACTGCAGGGCGTGAGTAGAGCGGTGGCACAGCACAATGGTGACAGCAGGGAGAGGAGGTGGATCGGCAGTGTTGAGGGTGGAAGGGGGACTGCGGAGATGGAGAGCCGTGCCCCGGTCCTAAGGGTGACAGGGGACACGGGTGGAGGGGAGAGCAGGAGGAGCGAGGCTGAAGGAGAGAGGCTGAGGAGGGAGCAGAGGTGGCACGGAGGGTCCCCAAAAGAACCAAAGTGCTGAGTGCAGAAAGGGGATGGGAGCAGGGAGAGGTGGGGCTGTGCCACCGCCCGCATGGGGACACCACGGGGCCATGGCTCCACAGTGGCTTCCTGGTGCCGCCACACCTGGGCAGGGGGGGGATTTTGAAGCGTTGAGGGGGGGGGGGGGCATCGTATGTGCACTAAAGTTATAACGATACCAAATTCGTGATTATTTTTTTTCCTTTTTATATATATATATATATATATAAACTAAGCTGTATTTGTCACGTTTGTGGCCTTCTTTAACCGAGTGGTGACAGATGGGCACTGAGCACTGTGGTGCACGGCCCAGCATCCCCCACCCTGCAGGGCTGCAGGCACCTCTAGGAACACATAGATGTGTGTAGATACATACTGCTATTTCCAAATTGCTCTTCCCTTGGTCGGCCCCCCCGTGTTGCTGCTGTCAGCACCGATCTCATCAGAGCCCACAGCCACAAGGCCCCATTGTGCCCGGCCCAGCCCCACAGCTCCTCTTCCCCATCCACAAACCGCTCCTGATGGATTTGGAGCTTAATTAAAATATGGGCGTGCGGATGAAACGATGGGAGAAACGAGAGCGCAGCTGCGCGGATGGCGCAGGACACGATATGGTTTTCCTCGATGATTTTATGCTGTTGTTTGGGGCCATGCAGAGATTGGGGGGTTGGGACAGAGCCCCAAAATGGGGGGCAGATTGGGAAGGAGTGGGAAATCTGGAGGAGGGAGGTGGAAAAGCAATAAAGGAGCGCACACAAAGGGCCCCGCGCTGCCCACGCAATCCCTGCTCCTGTGACCCCAGCACATTCCTGTCGCTGAAATTATTGCACGTAATGCTCCGAGCATCCGGCGGCTTTCTGTCCGGCGACCGAATCCCTTGTTTTTCTCCCTCTCTGTTTATTTGGCCAAATCAGATCGTTCCGCTGCAGCGGAAAAGGCTGCGGCTCTGCTTTCTCTCCAACACGGATTTTCGGTGGTGTTTTTGGTGCCCTCTGCCCCGGGTCGGGGCCGCCCACTCCTGCTTCCCTGCGGCGCCGGGCCGGGGCTTCCTACAGGAGGTGTCACGGTGTCACCACCATGTGGGTTGGGGATGGTGATGGTGAGTTGGGTCTTGGGGGTGGCACCGTGGTCCTGGCATCCCTGTCCTCTCAGCGTCCCCCCCCCCAAAGCCCACCTTCAGCCGAACGGCCCCTTGGCAACAAGCAGCGGGCAGAGCTGCAGTGAGCATGCTCCATTCCGTTCGTGTTTCCTCCGCAGGGTGGAAAACAAGGTGAGAGGCGCTGTGATGGTGAGGATGGCGACGCGGCAAGGGGTTTTGTGCCAACCGGACACAGGATGGGGGTCTGGAGGTGATTGCTGTCCCCATTGTCTCAATGGTTGTGCCAAATGGGGGGACCTGGGGACAACCCACAAGCTGACCCCCCCTACACAACTCAGTGTTCCAGCACAGGGGACCTCACGGCCACCGCAATCGAGGAGCCCCTTGGGCAAAATGCAGTGTCAGTGTCCCCAGAGCCCCTGTCGCCATCCCCACGGCACAAAGGGAGCGGCAGTTTCGCGCCACTTTCTCCCCCCCCGCCCTTGTCGACCCGCCCGATTTCCAGGCCCCCCCCCCCCCCAACCCCCCGTTCCTCCCCCCCTTCCAGACCGCCAGATAAAAGCCGGGACGCGCGAATCCCGGGGCACAAAGGAACGCACAAAGGCGGCCGGCTGTTCGCAGCCCGCCCCGAGCAGGAGGATGGACAGGGGGATGGACGGCCCATCTCGTGTCTGCTTCCCCCTTCCCTTCTGTCCCCATGCCCTCACTGCACACAGCGCTCTGGGACCTGGGGATGCCGTGGGGCTGGGAGATGTGCCGCGGGGTTGGATGGTGTCCCCGGGGTTAGGGGATGCCCTACAGGATTGGATAACGTTGCTGGGAACAGGGATGCCCCATAGGGACAGGATGATGACCTCAGGGTTAGGGGATGTCCTGTGGAACTGGATAATGTTCATGGGGTTATGGGTAATCCATTGGGTTAGGATGATGCCTCTGGAGTCAGGAGTGCCCCATAGGGTCAGGATGAGCCTCCCCAGGGCCAGAGGCTGCCCAGCATCAGGCAGGATGGGGCATTTTGGGTACCTATATGCAGCACCAGTGGAGGATGCCCATCCCAAGCCCTGGGCTCTGCCTCACAGCTCCCCTCCAGCTTTAACCACACCAAATCCGACCTCTGGGACCCCCGGCGATGCTGACAGCTGGTGGGAAGGAGATTTCCCAGCGCATAGTGACAAATTCCCAGCTCTTGGAGCTGCTTTGCAGCCGCCGTGGCTTCGGTGGGGGGAGCAACCAGGGATGAGAGGCACTGGAGCTCCAACGCTCCCCACGCATGGCCACCTGCTCAACCCTGCACCATGCCACAACCCCCAGCACCCTGTGTGTGGGAATGGCTTCGTTCATTACCCTCTCTCTGGCATCCCGGGGGGCTCAAGCTGCACCCTGAGGTTTTCCCCCCTCCTTCTCCCCTCCCTGTGCTGCCCAAATCCCCAGCCCTAAGCCCCTGGATCCTATTTCCCCGATTTTCTGCTCACTCTCAGCCTAATTGGCTCCACCTGCCAGCAAGCTGCAGAAAATTGGAGTGATCCCCATGTCCCATTTGGCTACAGCCGTGCTGGGGCTGTCTCACAGCACTGAGGGGGAGGGAAGGGCAGCTCCCACCACCCCTCTGCCATTGAGCCCCATGCCATGCAGTGGTGCTGTGCAAGGACACGGCCATGGGCGACCTCTTGCGTATAAACAGCAAGGAGGTTTTCAAGAATGTTTATCCACATGGCGAGAGGTGCTTCGTCCATGCAAATATAAATAGATATCAATATTAAAAACGGCCTTTTGTCCCCATGGTGTGCCCTGTTCCCATCGCTGCTCTGGGACATGTGCTTAATGGGGGCTGAACGACACCGAGCGGCACCTGGGAGCACAGCAATGTGACCCCATCACCGGGACGTGGGGCTCCCCTTAGGATTCTGGGTTGGCCCTGGGTTCTTGGGGTCAGGGTGCTGGGAACCACCCCAAAATTCCTACTATAGGCATAGGGGATACAGGGAGGAGTCTGTAAGACGTGCAGCGCGATGATGCATCAACAACCGCCAGCACAGGGCTGGGAAGCTGCCCGCCCTTTGTGCACCGCTCCCCTAATTGATGTGGTATTGTTCCTGGGTTTGGGTTTTAATTGAGGGTGGGCACGGGCCCCCCGCTGTGACCCACAGGCTGGAATTTTCCCACAGCCTCACGGGGCCAGCGGCAGCAGGGAGCTAACCGAGCTCCAAGTTTGGTCGCACATCCATGCGCAAGCATGAGCTGCTGTATGCGAGCACACAGAAGTGCATACAAGCTTGCGAAGCGCTCACAGCCACACCGGGAGCTGCCACCTTCAGCAGCCGCAGCCAGAGCCTTGGAGCCGGCAGCTGAGCAGCAGATGAAAGGCACCCAGCGGGCGCGTGGCCACGCAGGCAACGGAAGGCCCGGGTGTTGTGGGGGCCGCCCCTTCCGGCAGCAATGGACGCGGAGGCGCTGGACGAGCTGGCGGGGCAGCTGCATGGGGAGGCCCTGGGGGGCCGGGGGCTGCTGCAGCTGGCAGCCACCACCGGCCTGGCTGCCTACGCCGTGTGGGCTGCCGTGCTCATGCCTGGTTTCCGCCGGGTGCCGCTGCGCCTGCAGGTACCCCCTAAAGACCCCCCAGGTGGGATCCCCTCTGCTTGGTGGGCTGGGTGCAGGGTGGATCTCCCCACCATGCCGTTTGCCTCCAGGTGCCATACGTGCCATCCAGCGCCCAGCAAGTGGCCAACGTGATGGGGCTGCTGCGAGGCCGCACGGGGAAGACGGTGGATCTGGGTTCTGGGGACGGCCGACTCGTAAGGGGGGAGAAGGGGGACCCCGGTGAGGGAGGGAAACTCAAGGGCTTCCCCGGTGCAGAGATCCCCAGGGACGCAGTGCTGCACCCAGCAAGCTCCCACTAGGGTTGGTGCTGGAAGGCTGCCCCAGGGTGCCCCCCAGGTACTCTCCTATATACACCAACACACCCATATACCCCTCTGTGCCCCCTACGTGCAACCCCTGTGCACCCACACAGGGTACACAGGGAGGGGAGGCACCCACCTGCACTCCCCTCTATCCATCCACGATCCCTATATGCACCCCGATACACATCTGTGTCCCCAGTGCCCAGGGCAGGAGGGAGCAGTGGGGAGGTCTCTGGGCCCCAAACCCAACAGCTTCATTTCAGCCCCTGTTCTCTCACCCCCCAGGTGGTTGAAGCTTACAAGCAAGGACTCCGGCCGGCTGTTGGCTATGAGCTCAACCCCTGGCTGCTGTGGCTTGCCAGGTACCGGGCCCGCAAGGCTGGATATGAGGGGAAGGTTTCTTTCCTGAAGCAGGATCTGTGGAAGGTAACAGCTGCATGGGACAGTGGCTGTACAGGGCATCAGCCAGGAGCTGTGACTCAATGATCCTTAAGGTCCCTTCCAGCTTGGAATATTCAATTCCATGGCATCTTTGCTTGCCTTAAGGCTCACAGCACTCAGCAGTGCTCCCATACTTATCCTCCAAAAGCCTTTTGCTTCTTTCATTCCCCTTTTCCTTCTTTTTAAAGGTGAATCTTTCCGATTGCTACAACGTGATTGTGTTCCTGGCTCCCAGCGTGGTAAGTCCGTATGCTGAGATGCTGCAAGTCTAGCAGGGAGGTTGTCCTTAGAAAAGAGAG